GGCAATGGTGGTGTCGCAGAGAGAGATGGGAGGAAGAAGAGGTTCGCAGAGAGAGACAGGAGGAAGAAGAGGTTATGGGTTAAGGATTTTAGGGCTTGAGATAGATATAAATTAATTTATTGTAAAAAAAAATTAAAATTTTTTTAATTATTAATTAAAACCTGATTTTTGAAAAGTGGAACTTGAATCAGGATTTATGAAAATGGAAATCTAAAAGCAGGTGTATGTGTAATTTCCTCATAATTTTATGGGGATAATTAGGCCCATTACCAAATAATTAGAATACACTTAAAACTTAATTATATCTCTAATTACAGTATTAATTACGCTGTGCCCAAATTCATCTGGAAACACGGGCGGACAAACCCTTCTCTCCATTCTAAATTTTTTCTCATCTTAAAATTTAAAATACTTTCGTTTGATGTTATATTTTACGCTACAATTATCCATTTTAAGCGATTCAAAAATCTCATGGAAGCTTGCAACGCTATCATAGTAAGCCCTTATTTGACTCCCATTATAATGAGCTTTTTAGAGATAATGTATTTTGGAATATTAATTTTTGGGGTTAAAAAAAGATTTTTTTTATTTTTTATTTTTGTGTAATATTATTTTTATTAGAGAATGTGTAATTGAAAAGAGAAGAGGGAAAAATGTATTAAAATTTTAATGTGGGCAAACATGGGCTAAATATGTTATGAAGTTTAAATCATGATTATTAAGTTCATTTCTTGTTACCATTTTCGACTTATAATTATGAACCGATTATTTATTAATTTTAAATTCGAAAGATGTATTTCAAAATTTATCGTGAATACTTCGATAAAATAACGAAAAATGAAGAAACATAGCCCTTAAATAAGTAAAAAAAAAAAATTTAAGTGACATGATATGTCACCCTTTTTTTTTGAATTTCTATCTTTTTTATTGTTTTTCACTTTTTTTAAATCATCAATTTTTTAATATATGTCACTTTTTTGAATTTTGTGAGTTTTTTTCATTTTTTTAAATTTATATAATTTTTTTGATTGTTTCTCACTTATTTTTATTTTATGTCACTTTTATTGAATTTGTGTCACTTTTTTGAGTGAGTGTCATTTTTTTTGAATTTCTGTCAATTTTTTTTAGTGTTGGCCACTTTTTTTAAAAAAAAATTTTGTCGCTTTTTTGAGAGTAC